CGTGGAATCTCAGTGTTGTTTTCATCTGCACATCTAGACTGACCAGTGATGTTGAACATTTTTTCATATGTTTATTTGCTATGTCTTCTTCTTTGTGTGAGAAATGTCTGTTCATTTCAGATACCCATTTTCGGATTGGGTCTTTGAATTTGGGAGTTCTGACTTTTTTAAGTTCTTTATAGATTCTAGAAAGTAGGCCTTTGTCTGAGAAACACAGGTGAAAATTTTTTCCCACATTGTGGGTTGTCTCTTAGCTCTGTTGGTGGTTTCTCTTGCTGTGCAGAAGCTTTTAATAAGATGAGATCCCAGTTGTTGATTCTTTGTGCTAGTTCACAGGCAACTGAGGGTTTGTTCATAAACTCTTTTCCTACACTAATGTCTTTAAAGTTCTACCTAACCTCTGTTCCAACTGGTTCAGAGTTTCTATTTTAATATTTAGATCTTTAATCCATTTCAATTTTAGTTTAGTGTATGGTGAGAGATATGGTTTTTTAATAAAATGAAGTACTAAGCCATAAAAAATGAAAAATTAGAGACATTTATAGGTAAATGGATGAACATTGAGCTGATACTCTTAAGTGAAATAAATAGGACACACATATGTAAATACCAAATCATTTCTCTAATGTGAGAAACTGAAAGTGTCAATAAGGACTAAAAGGTATAATAATAGATAATGTGAATAGGAAGAAAAGGGGCAAAGGGAAAGGGGAAGTGGGAGGGGTAGGGGTAGGGGAAAGGAAAGAAGGGAATGGAATTAATAGGAGAAAAAGAGAAAATGGAAACAAAGCCTTTGTAAATAGGGAGGGATGGAGGGGTTGAAGGGAGGGCAGGAGAAGAGAGAAAAAATAAGAACCAAGAGAGATTATGTAAAGGTGCAAATTTCCAGTGATGAATCTCATTATATTTTATACCTAAATGTACCAATAAAATATGAAAATGTTTTTTAAAAATGCAAAACAGTGAGGCTGGGGATGTAGCTCAGTGGTTCTGCCACCTGCCTCGAAAACGCAAGGTCCCGAGTTCGATCCCTGCTACCAAAAAAAAAAATGCAAAACAGTGTAATGATGTACTAACAGAAATGTAAAGAATTGCCTCTTTAACAAGTCTGCTAGAATTTAGAAACACTCCACTGGCTTTTCATTTATGTAATATATTCTGTTAAAAGTCATACAACTATTTTATACTAAATCTATACATTTTAGTAAACTAGAAGTACCTCCCAAGGGAAAGTACAAATTTTCTAGTTATAGAGGGTTGGTTGTCTTTGAAATCTACAGGTGATCAGATCAAAGTAACCAAACATTTTTAGTTTTCATTAAGCTGTTTCCTCACCTCTCCTCCCTTGGTCCACTTGGTAAACAGCTATTAGGTTTCCACTCTCTTTCCAGCTCTACAGAGAGAGAAGTATACTGAATACATCTGAAAGCAATCCAGAGGGTATGGCTCTGGCTCAGGGGCAGTCGGTCCACCTTGCTGCACTAAGCTGTAAACGTCAGTCTCGTTGGTTTCTAAGAGAGGGCATCCTGTTTGCAGAGCACAGGCCTTCTGATGGGTTAGTCCCACCTACAGGTTTGAATTCACCCTAATACAGTAAGGACCTCCATATACTGTGGCGTGCATAGTGCATAGGCAACCTACTCTTACAATATTCCAGTAATAAGCCCCACTTGTTAAGTGATACCAGCCTACACTGTGTCATACGATCCTGTTGCTGATACTGCAGATAAAATATAGCCACTATTTATTTTGGTAATTTAATATAGTAGAAGGAGTTTGAAAAAACAGTGTTGCTCATATGCTATTTCAGGATAACAGTGACCCACCCTGATCCAGAGGAACCAGGTTAAACTGAGCCTGGTGTTTTCCATTATGTTTTGTAGCAACATTGTTTCTGGGCTACATTTAACCCCAAGAAAACTGAACGCCCTGACTAGATCAACAAAGAAAGTCCAGCGCTGGGCTATGATGTAAGAATCAGTCTGACTTCTAGCATCAGTGCTGTGTATATTTTTGGAAAACCATTTGTGGTTTTCCTACCCCCATTCCTAATTTAGGGAACTAACAGTTTCTTTCAGAAATCCTTTCTTTCTAAAGTTATATGTGTGGGGTGTAGGGGAGGAGACTATATCTGGCTTCCCCATTGGGCTCATGATGGAAGTGTACCCAACCGCCATGAAGAAATCCCAGGTGACAAGGAAGAACAGATGCCACCTGGACCCTTCTGTCTTGTTTGAACAAGTGATATCATGGTTTATATCTAGCTGTCTCCCAAAGCTTCATGCACTCATGGGTGGGGCCTTGGGGAGGTGATTGGATCGTGGCAATGAGACCATTCATGGATTAGTCCACTGATGAGTGTATAGCTAAATGTGACAGTGGGAGATGAAGCCCGGTTGGAGGAGGTGGGTACTAGGAATGTAGTCTGGAAGAGCCCATCTCCCTTCCTTCTCCCTGGACAACTCTGTGCTTCCTGCCTGCCCTGCCATGGGCTGTGTCTCCTCTGTGATGCCCCTCTGCCATGCTGCCCTGCCCTGGAGCCAGTGCACCATGGAGTGAAACCTCTTTACCAGTCCATGTCATTGGACATGCTCTTCTCTTTGTTGGAAATGTTAGTACCAAATATTTGGGTCTGGGTTGGTGCATTGGTTCTTATCTGTGAGGAGAAAGGAGGGATGTACCATACTCATCTGGAAGATTTTCTGATTACATGTGCTTCTTTCCTCTATACTTCCTACCCACCCCAATGTGAACCCTGGGTAATAAAGTAAATACGTACTGGATTGGTGTCTCTACACTTTCAAAGGAAAGAGAAGTGATATCATGAATGTTTTCAGTCACTCAAAATAACTCTACTCTTCTCTCTGTTTTTCCATCTACTCTTCTTCATGCTGGTATTTTGGAGGACTGTTAAATGTCAGGACCACTTGAGTGCTGGAAATGGAGAGAGAAACCAAGTTTTGTTCCTGTCACTCTGGGATTTATGAAGATCTCATTAGGGAATGGCCTAATCAAGACTAAAGTGAAATGTACCATCAGAGCCAAAAGATTCAAACAGGAGTGGCATGTGCATGGAGACCGAGTACAGGGACTGTTGCATGGTCGGTGAGACCCAGTGCTCTTCTCAGAGGCCCTCCCCTGCCTCCTTCACTCTTCTTTCCTCAGTATCCCACACAGTGCACTGTGCTCTCCCTTCCAAACTTGCCTGGGTTCCACGCAGGGGTGTCTTGAGAGGAGGCCAGGAGAAAGATGCAGCCCAAACCCCAGGGGAAACCCAAGAGCAGCGAGAGCTCAGCAGAAAGTGTCTCTTTCCTTTATTGTCTCCCTGGACTTCTCCTAGCAAACCTCTCGGAAACACAGCTTTGGAGAGGCCTGCGTTGCACCCTGGCACCTCACTGTGACCCAGGGTCGGTGAAGAAGCCATGGCATCACAGTGCTCCGCATCCTTCCCTGTCCTCCCGGAGCTTCCCCCTCACTCCCACGCCCTAGGCTTGCCCCCCAAATCAGTTGTCAACAGTTTAACCCTTCCTCAGGCTGTGCTTTTGAAAAGATCCAGAACATACAGATGGATCTGTGAACATCCAATGATGATTCTTGTACTATGAAAAACTAATTTAAAGAAAAGAAAGTTGAAGAATTCCTTCTCAAAATCTTGTTTCCTTTTTCTATATATCAAAACCAAATGAAATTAAATATTGGCAAACCATTTTCTAGCAGTTACCCAACCTCAAATCAGCAAATGTTTATCCATTTTCTAGTAAGTGGGAGTTGTCTATTCAGAGTATTTCCCTAGGCTGGTCTCAGATCCGCAGATCTTGAATCTGTTGTTTTCTGTCTTTTCTCCCAGTTTATCCTTCATGGTAGATTCAAGAGTTGTGTAAGGTAAGGAATTTTAAAGTCATTTACAATCCATCAAGATACTGATTCTCCCACTCTCCTTAAGTGGCCATTGGAAGCATTTTTCTTCCAACTGACTAACCTAATAACTGTGTGCTTCCTAAACTAACCCTGCACATTTTATATTCATCCCCATATTATACCCCACAAAGGATGTGAAAAACTTCTTCACTGATTTCAGTCTCATACATCACCTCTGGTAGAGGCAGCGGGGGTTTTCACTACTGTTGCCTGCCTTTCTCCTTCTCAATTGCTAAACAAATTATGTACAATCCAAATGACTTTGCAAATTGTTTCCTTAGGAAATCACAACAATTCTATCGTTTTTGCTTGAAGCTTTACGTAGCATATGAGAACTTTACCTCAGTATCTTTCCTGACACCTACCGGAAAATCTTCCAAGAGGTACAGACTGATTAGTTGTGAAGACAAGTTTGCCCAATCTGCAGCTAATACCAACAGCTCGAAGGCAATAAATAGCCAAATAAAGTGTTCCAACCCATCAACACCTTGAAGACCAGCTACTCCGAGGCACCCTCCGACTGCTGACCCCACCACCCTGTCCCCATGCCACACCTGCCCGTGAGGAGCACTGTAGATGAGTGCATGCACCAGTACACGTACACAGCTGAGCTGTGTTTTAAATGTATGCGGACCAATGCAGGATTATGTCTCAGTCCTGTCAATCCTAATGATGCGGTGTAAATGCTTCCTTTCTCAAAAGACTTTATTGGACCTCATCCCAGCCCACCTCTAAACCATTGTTCCATCCTTGGAGCTCCCTAATGTTTTATCTGCCCAGCTCTCCTGACAGAATCACTTTCTACCTTGAACAATTCTCACTTTCATACTTACACCTTCGAGTTTTGGTTCATCTTCCCATTCTCCACTTTGCTTAGCACAGTGCCTACCCAGCCTTCACAGTGGTGAATAGTGTGTGTGTGTGTGTGAGATGTGTTGTGAAACCAATTCTAATCATTACCTTTGGGAATGCCACAAACATTCCAGTCAAAATAATCTGGATAGATAACAGGAAATTAATCCTGATAACACGCTGTGGAAGCAACCAAACATGTTTTTCCTCACATGCTCAGCAATAGCTTACCGAGTCATGTAATCCATCCTAGGGAATTGAAGGTGTGGAGAGGGAGGCAAGGCAAAAGTTACGTCCACGTCATGTTTCCCCAGAGCAAGTGCCTCAGGCATCCATCTGTCGGTTTATCTTCTACTGTGCACTGCTTAAAGTAAATTGTATTGCTATTATTACTTATTAAAGGAAAGCAGGCTTTTCCTCTCTTGCATTTTTCCTGGTTGACTCCAAATTGCTTTGAGCCCATTGCCCTAACACTCACTCTGACTTTCCTCCAAATTTCTGGATCACAATTCACCCCGATCATTAGCAATTTTCATTTCTTATTGCATGATTTCTGCCTGCCCTTGGATGGCTTTATTTTAATTACAAAAAAAAGAAAAAGAAAAAGAATGGAAAGTTTCAGTTGTAAACACACAAAGGTACTGTTGGCGAGTGTAGGTTTGGCAGAAGAAAGGCCCGTGGTCAGCTTAGCTGCAGTTTATTGGCTCAAAAACAAGAACAATTCTGAAGGAAATTAGGATAGTTTTTTTTAAGTGACAATTTTCTCCATCAGGTAGATTACACTATTTCCTGTTATTTTATGATACTGATATTTCACTTATACATTTTCTCCACTCCCATAAAATTTTCCATCTGGGGTGTACTGGTATAGCCTCTTTGTAAGTCTTTGGATTCATTTTCTTTCTCTCTCTCTCTCTCTCTTTCTTTCTCTTCCTTTCTTCCTTTCTTTTTTCTTTTAAAGTGTCAGTTTCCAAGAACCTTCATCAGATACCAGGGAACATAAGTTGATACCTTAGCTAAAGAGCTTATTCACTCGGAAAACTCCCCACATGCCCCTGGAGGACAGAGGGTGGGGGTGGAAATCAGGCTCAAACTACTAAAGTTACCTTTGCCTGAAACTTTAGCTCATGCCTTGAAAGGCTTACAACTAAAATCCTTGAAAATTAAGACTCACAGCATTTCCAGCCGATAGACATTTTCCATCCAGGAGATGAAAGAGCAGGTACAGCAGGGCTTCCTTCTAAAGGGAGGAGCAGCAATTGGCTGTGGTCTGTAGGAAAAGGAAAAAAAGTAAATGTTCTTTAAAAGCTTGAATAGGACCAAGCAGATCTTTTTCTCCCCCTTTCTCCCAGCAGAACTGTAAAGTCTTCCCAGGCAAAGAAAGTCAAGGGAGAGAAAATGAAGAACAAAAGCTGAAGTATCCCGTGGATAAAGTTACAGATTGATTACAACTCACGTGATGATATTTTATTACTGAAGGAACAAAACAGAAAACATTTCTTTGTGGGCCCTATTTCCTGTCGCTGGAATACACTGGGTTGTTTCTCTCTCCTGTACAGTATGGTGGCTCTGTTGGTTTTCCAAGGTGCCCATTGTTTGCCAGCCAGGCGGTGGTGAAACCTTTCCCTCCTGGATGCCTCCTTGAACTGTCCCCTATTCTGGTCCTGATATTTTTGTCATCACTTCCAGAACTGTAACAGAATTTCAGGAAAGCTGGTTTAGAGAAAATAGGGGAAGGAGAATAAACTTTTTTATCAGAAACTTTGAGTAAGATAACTGGGAATACTGAGTCCAAGACGGGGAGGAACTTCAAGCATCAAGATGCAGGAGAGGATGGTCAGTATGTGCGTCAGGTCAAGTTTCTCCAGGGAATGAAGCTCATGGAGAGGGTTCAAGGACCCACCCCTGGGAACATGCAACACGACACAGAAATGCAAGCAAAGCCCCAAAAGTTCTTGGGGGGAGGAGGCAGGAAGGATGTTCCTGTCGACTCAAGAACTGGTAGTACTACTCTCTCACTTCTTGGTGTGCTGGAGTGTAATTTTTGTGTTAGGTTCTGCTTCATTATACAGCCAAAGTTAATATGAACTTTCAGGGATCTAGAGAATTCATACCAAAGGAGGACAACTGGAGAAACAAAAGCTTCGTGGTATTCCCATTCAAAGTCCACTTGCTTGCCCATCTGTTAAAATCAAATTCAAAAACCTGCTGGATGCATTAAATATTTGGTTCTTATTAATTTTCCCAGGGATAGAATGAATGAGTGAATGAGCAAGTTGAGTAAATTGCAAGATTCTCTTTTATCCTCCACTTTGCCTAAGCCAATTGCAGCTCAGCACTTGAACTGAGATACATTATATTGAACATTTTATATTTTCCCCAAACATTTTACACAAAATTTCAAGTGTCACCAGATGCTTGAGAGACTCGTGGCATATCATCACATCAGTGAGTTCTTGCAAAAGCAAAACCACTTCATCATCACATCAGTGAGTTCTTGCAAAAGCAAAACCACTTCTTGAAATTATGGTGCTAGCCAAGGAATTGCCCAATCTTTTTTTTTTGCTGCAAAAACTGTCAAAATTGAGGGTTTTTTCTGAAACTAAAATTATCTCTTGGAGAAAATGATCAGGTGGGAATTATCTGAAGAACAATTTGCAAAAGGGGGTCATTAGCATCACGTAAAAGACAATGTTTCATGAAGAAGCACATTAGTCTATAAAATTACAATAAGTGGTTTATTCATTAATATGAACTCTCTTACCATTCTTGCATTAAATGGTGGTTGCGTTAGTGAGCTTCCTGTGTCTGTGACGAGTCCTCCAGATAATCAGCCTTGTCAAGAGGAGGTTTATTTCGGCTCACAGTCTTAGTCCATGGCTCTGGTGAGGGAACACATCAGAGCGGTGAACTGTGAGCTCTACGGTAGAGAGAGATGCTCACCCCATGGCCCAGTGAACAAGGCAGAGAGAAGGAGGAGGGCCTGGCCTCATTAACTCTTCAAGGGCACACCTCATGACCTATGGCCTCCTACCTCTTACAGTTCCCACCATCTCCCAGCAGCTCCATATTGGGGAACACACCTTGAACGCAAGGCTTTCTGGGCACATTTCAGACCCGCACGGCAGCAGTGGGTACGTTCCGAGTCTGGTTTTTCTTCTCTCCTCTCCCCTCCATTTAGAAGTTAATTTTTCTTGAGCTTTGTGTTGCAACGACAATGCCCTAAGTGAAGTCAGGGATACACAAGGGATGAAGGCTGGTATGTTGTTGAGGGCACCAGTGACGATGTGTCTTTCACAGTAGCAAATTTTTTAACTTAAAAATTAAACATATTTTTCAATCACACTCTGTATGAGTGGAATCACACAATATCTGTCCTTTTATCCCTGATTTACTTTACTCAGTACAATGTCCTCAAGCTTCATCCATGTCGTGCCACGTGTCAGAATTTCCATCCTTTTCACGGATGCATACTATGTCATTGTACATATAGATCACATCTCATTTGCCATTTGCCTATTAAAGGACATTTGAGTTGTTTCACTTTTTTGCTATTGTGAATAATGCTGCCATGAACAGGGATCTATAGATACTGTTTGAGGGTGGGTGTGGCAGGGCACACCAACAGTCTCAGTGCTGAGGGAGGCTGAAGCAGGAAGACCACAAATTTTAGTCTTGCATGGGGAACTTAGTGAGATCCTGCCTCAAAAATGTAAAACTAAAAAGGGCTGGGGATATACATAGCTCAGTGGTAGGTGCACCTGAGTCTGATCCCCAGTACTGCAAAAAGCCCGAAGAGGTGTGTGTCTAAGTATGTTCAGTTCCTTTGGATATAGACTGGAAGTGGCCTGCTGAACTGTCAGTAGCGCTGTTAATTTGGGGAGAATTGTCATTCCATTTTTAGCAGCAGCTGACACAGTTGACATGCTGTCCCCCTCTGGACATACTGTTTTTTCCCTTGAAATAAATTATATTTTATATCAGAAAGGGACAATAGGACCTATCCATACTGCATTTCTCACAAAATGATCTTGTGTTACCCTGTCACTCTATAAATATTTTGAGTTTTCTAAATTTACATGTCTGAATCATTAGATTCTGTCACCCATTTGATGTAAGTAAAGTGATCAGAACACTAACAACTTATTTATAGGTCAGAGTCCAGCCTATACTACTTCAGAACCAGCTTTGGGGTATTAAACTTTAAGAAAAAGGAGAGATTTGCAAGTATGTTGCCTGAGCCCTAGCCTACCCCTGTGTTCCTCAGAGTGTGTTCCCTCGTGAATGTGCCTGAGACAGAACAGTGTCTTTCTTTTCCAAGCCTGACCTGTTATATAACTACATTCGGAGTGTCATAATGAACCAGGGAGTGGGAAGGTCACTAACTTGGATTTAAGACTTACAGGGTTGCCAGATAAAATCCATCCAGTCAATTCTTACTTTTTTAGAGAATCAAGAGAAGTATTTTAGTATAAGGATGCCCCATGCAACATTTTCAACTGATGCTGAGAGATTCTGCAGTGTCTATCTGAGCATTCTCCACTTTTATTTGCTAAATCTGCATTCCTAGGTAATTCTCCCTGCCCAGCAGGAACTTCAGGAAGGTAAATGGAAAAGACCACCCACTGAGAGAGTGGTAACATAGGGGCGCTGTAAGGGACTGAGAGCTGGACCATTCCAGGGTTTGAACAAAGGATTAGTAATCAGCTACGAGCAGTGAAGACCACACAAGGACAGGGGTGACACTGGGGAGGAGTAATCCTCAAAGCCCACCAGGGAGGGCAACCAAACAGACCAAGTTGCTGGCGACCAAGGAGACCTGAAGTCCCGCAGCCGGTGAGACAGAAGCCAACAGCTCCGGGTACAGAGCCGCTGATCAGACAGCGGCCACAGGGGAAGACTTTGCTGGCCTCCAAAGCACCTGACCCACCCAGGCCCAGGAATCCTGCCAAGGAAGAGGCAACAGAAATTTGAGAAGTGAAATTCTAATAATTCTGGTGGTGGCGACTCAATTCAGAGGCACTTTTTAATCCCATAAAAACCAAAGCTCACCAGACTTCTCAAGAGTAGCGCGCGCTTGCCCACAGCCTCCTCTGAACTCTCCAAAGCCCGAGGCGTGTGGTGAGCAGCCTTCCCGAGGCGCCTTCCAACATAGCTGTCTCTGCAAGCTGACGCCTCGCTGCCCCTCCACCTTCCAGGTGTACAAGGGAAAGCTCTGAAGTTAAAGACACCTTAGTGATTCCAAGCACAATAAACCCGTCCAAGCCAAAAAGTACAGTGCAGATAAGTCTTAACAAATAGCAAAGCGTCACCCTGGGCGTGCTGCCCTGTTTGTCAGGGACTTCCCGTTCTGTATCTATGAGAGAAATATGGGAGTTGAAAGCCAGTAATCTCTTTGCATCCACCCCTGGCTTCGAACTTCGCTCCCATGCTCCCTTCAAAAAGCTCGGCAGCCTGGGGTCAGGTGCGGAGAGTGTGCGAAGCCCCTGCCTGCCACACGTACCTTGCTCCAGAAAACAGAAAATCCACTTGGAGTCAGGGTGAAAGGGTCAGTCAGGCTGAATACCAATCTTCCCGGAGTCTCTCTCATTAGAGGGAAAAAACATGAAAATAAAGAATTACAGGCTTACAGAGCGATTTGGGCCACACGCTGAGTACAAAAACCTTTGAGTTTATTCAACAGAGGAGAAATGCTGGCTGGCGATTCTGAAGAAAAGAACTCAAAATGCCTCACTAAAATTTATTATTCTTGGGAACAGAACCAGAAGCAGCAAATTGAGTTGGGACTTAAAATAAAGACTCTAGCCCGATTCAGCTCTCCTCTGAGCGGGCCTAGAATGTACGGTGAGGGAGCAGGGAGCCTTTGTCCGGGGAGGGTCAAGGCCACCTGTGCAGGGGACTGCGCGATTGTGCCGAGAGGTTCTGGGAAAGGCCTCTGATGTGGGCTGGCCGTGCGTGCTGCGTGTTGCCCATATTAATGGCTAAAGGCACCGTGAAGCCAGGCATGGTGGCACGGGCCCATAGTCCCCGCATGCTGGGAGGCTGAGGCAGGAGGGCAGCAAGTTCAAGCCCAGCCTGCACAACTTAGGGAGGCCTTGTCTCAAAAAATAATAATTAAAAAAAGGCGCAGGGATGCAGCTCAGTGCAAAGGCTCAAGTTCAATCCCCAGTACTGAAAAAAAGACATCTGTGAAATGCATAAGGGGTAGAAAACAAACACAAACATAGACCATATATCATAATTTATATCTTTGCCCAAAACTCTTCTCACAGTGCAACTTTGGTCAGAAAAGAGCACCAAAGCTTAGATCTCTGCAAAAATCACTTCTTGGCAAAACACTGGCTCCTCAAGAATGCATGCAACCCTCGCAGCCTTCACTCAGCCCAAGAAGGCTTTGTCTGGCCCTTCGGCCAGTGGTACCCTTTCTGCTCTGCCACCGCTCCTTCCTGCACGGCCCGCAAAACTGCCTTGTCTGAGCTCCTGTCTTCTTCACTAAGCTTCAGAGTCCCTGCAAGTGGAAATCACACCCAGGGCTGAAAAGTTGTGGATGCCTGAAAAAATAGCTGTTGAAAGAATGAATAAAGTGACTTCCTACACTCACAGAGGTGAATGTTAGCCCGGGTCTAGAGCCCTTGTCTCAGATCGCCTCAAAGGGCCAGTTGCTGGTGGAGTTGACTGAGTAATGCATGTTTTCCAGGTGAGAGAGAGTGGTAGCCAGGTCAGTGGATGTTCTCAGCAGCTAGGAGTGTGTGAGAAAGCCCCAGGAACTATTACTCAACAAAATGCTAAATCTGCTCTCTCACCAAACTGTTCAAAGTATGCTAAAGTCATGCTCCCGACCTTATCGTAATAGAAACAGCAGTGCCGACGTGAAAAGCAATTGTGGCATCTGAATATTAGACGAAAAGCCTCAGACCAGAAGCTGAGCTTGTCCTCCTCCCTTCATTCAACAACATGTATTCAACGCAAAGAATATGCGGCTGCAGCGCACCCGGGTTCTGTGGGACTGGAGCCCGAGCTTGCCCCAGGTCAGCTGAGGATGCTCCTCATGAGACCGCATCGCCACGGACACCCCCAAATGAGTCTCCACTGTTCCCCAATAGCACAATCATCTTCAGCTTGGTGTTTGTCTACAGCTTTTAAAATGTTTTTACTTCTATTGGTGCTGCATGTCTCCAGCACATGATGCTGACATTCCTCCTGGGGAGCTGGCACCTGTACAGAGCACGTCTGAATTCTCCCTTTCTTGGTCTCCTTCCCATTTGCAAAAGATCTATCTCCCTATTTCCTATTATCTAGCTTTTATTTTGTTTTTTAATTTACTTATACTTTAGCTTTCACATATAAAAGAAATCTTGTGATATTTACACTTCTGTGTCTGATTTATTTTATTTAATATTATTGTCTCAAAGTGCACCCATTTTTCTACAAATTCATCCTTTTTATGGCAGAGTAGTACTCCATTGTGTATAAATACCACATTTTTTTTATTCATTCATCTGTTGCTGGACATACAGGTCATTTCCAAGATTTAGCTAATGTGAATTGTGCTCATGTGCATGCACATGTAATATGATGACATCAACTCTTTCAGGAAGAAAGCTAGAAGGGGACTAGCTAAGTGGAAAGGAAAATCTACTTTTCATTTTTGAGGCCATCTCCATCCTTCTTTCCATGGTGACTGAACTTATTCACATCCCCACCAGCACCATACAAGGAGTTCCCTTTGCTATGCCCTATGCTCACCTGAATGAACATCAGAGCTCTCCTTCTCAAACACACGTTCTGACTGTTCATTTCCTCCTTGGACCGGAAGCACGTGACCAGCATCTGGCCTCTATCCTGCCCATTTCCTTTCTGTTCAGTCCAGTTCAGCAGCTGGCTTCCCTGCACTCACTTACCTCAGCTGTGAGTTACCTCACTTTGAGCAGAAGACCTGACCTCACCTGCACGATTCAAAAACTAAAGCAGGGCCACTAATCCCAAACTATACAGGAGTAAAAATCAACTCAGCATGGTCAGAAATGTCCGTTGGTCTTTCCCTCAAATTCAAAACAGAAACATCTAAAAAGATAGCTTCGTTACTTTCAGGGAGACACAAAGATAAGCTCTTCCTATTTCTAATATTTACATTAGAAATTTTCAATATTTTTCTAGTGAAAAATTTGATTTCACTCCTAAGAGAAGAGTAGGAGAAGTGTTTTTGTCTTTTGCATCCTTTCTTCATGCCCTGAGAGTGGTACAGTGAGTGATCAGATGGGCAAAGACGGAAAGAGGAGGGAACTCGTGTAACTTCGCCCTTCGGACAAACTCTCGCATTCCCCACCTCCGAGCCCCTCCCTCCAGCAGCAGCAGAGCCTGAGCTGGCTGCATCCCTGCGGAAAAGGTTTCCACTCCTGGGGACCTCATTAGGAAACCTGATTACAGGCTGTGCTCTCAGCCATGCTTTCCACTCTGCTATTTCCAGCACGAAAGGCTGATGCCCATTTATCGTATCCCACTGTCTATCTGGCTTACACTTTAGAGGGAGACAGGGCATGATTAATCACCAAATCTCAACAAGTGTCCAATTTTCTGCTTCCTCTCCAAGCCCTTGGCTGGTACACTGCCCACACCCACTGCCCCAGGGAAGATGCCTGTCGGCTCCCACAGTCATGAGTGCCATAGACAGAGCCTGCTGCTTACAGGATGGTGACTGGGGCCAAACAAATTAGCTTCTTTCTGCCTCGATTCTCTCACTTCAAAACACGGCCCCCAAAGCTACCACATTCTGTTTTAATGAGGGCGTGGGGAGTTAATTCTATACAGCTGCTCACATAGTGTCTGCTAGCAATAGTTCTGGGTTGAAATTCCAGCTCTTTCACTCGCAAATGTTAAGCTGCTTCCCCGGAGTACGGAGTACACAGAGAGAGAGAGCTACAGCTATGCAAAGCACAGAGGATCTTATCTGCATGGAGTGAGCTTCTCTGGGGGGAGAACGTATTACCTAAAGTAAACACCCGGGCGCTTCAGAGTCTCTGACACGGCCCAGCCTTCTCTGTGTCTCCTCCTGGGAATCTCCATTAAGCTGCTGGGAAAAGTGTGCTTACGAAGCTCCTTTTGCATTCTACGTGTAACACAGGCCAGTGCCTGGTCACTTCCTCCAGTGGTAACTCCAGACAGCTCTGATCGTCCCTCAAGCCTGCAGTCTTCTGAAAACCCCACAAGGACAGCTGCTGAGATCTTCAGCTCCCACGAGCAAATCCAAGAACCTTAAATGGCAAAGAGAAAGGAGCCACACTGGCTAAGGGGAGGCCTGTGTTTGAACAAACACCTTTGAAAGGTACGGCTGGCCTTGGAATCTCTCTCCCTCCTAGAAACTAAAACTAGAGGCGTTTTGGGTTTCTCTATCCTCAGCTCTTCTGCAATTTTGTTGTCATCACTTCATATTCATGGGCAGTATAAGCTCCCCATTGTTCCCAGGACGTTCAGCTTCCTCCTTATCACAGGACTGATGTTTGTTCCTTCCTCATCGATGGTCTTAGCATCAGGCTTGCAATCCCTAGACATGCTGGAACCTCCCCATTGAACTGAACCCCAGGAGTGATGAAGGGTCCCTTTTTCTTTCCTGAGATGCTTTCAGTTTCTTTTCTGAAGGTCAAACAGTGATAACAATGGAGTTATTTCCTCTAAAAGGGGCCGAGAGGGAATTTTTAACCTCACAAAATGCCTAATTCTATTGAAAGAGCTGGCTGCAGCCATCCCAGTGGTGTTCCAGAATAGGAAAAGTGGGTTTCAGCTGGAAGCGGGCCCGCGCACTGGCAGGTGTGTCTGGGCTCCTGATGCCATGTGTCGGCACTTGGAAGCAGTGACCATGTCGGTACTGATGTGAGCCCAGGGCCAGTCTTATGCTCGAGCCCTGGAGCCTGTCTCGCCTGCTTGGTACGACTGCAGTAGCCTCTGCATCTGGTCTGTTTCCCTCAACACACCGGGAAAGTGTGGCCCAGGAGCAGTCATTTTGTCAGGGTGATGCTTCAGGAATTATTGATACCAGTTCCTTTCTAGAGAATCGATTTGATTCTTCTCCGGGAAGTATCAGTACATTGTTTTCAGTAAGAGGAAACTGGGGCATAGTGTGCTCAAATGACTGGACCTGAGATGGCTGCAAACCAAAAGCCTTCTGTTCTGACTACAACATCCTGTTCTCCTCTTCCTGCAGATCCTACATCCATGATCCGTGCTCTCAGGGACTGTTCCGGCCACCCAGCAGGTAAACAATCCAGCCACATGGTCTAGATTGTTCTTGTAATGGTGATGTTTGTGGAAATAACCCTGAAATGTGAGCTCAGTGTTGCTGCCCTAAAATTATAATCAAGAAGGCTAACCATGACCCAGAGGTGAACTAATAAAAGTGCTCATGAAACAGACAGACCAAAGGGCATGCCCATCCCCATACCTAGGTGAAAAAAGGCTGGGCTGCCCCTGTAGACATAATTGATGGTCAGAAGCTTGAAGCTTGGCAAGATCCACTCTGCCTGCCGAAGTCCCAGAGGAAAAGCTGGAGTCCTCAAAGAGTCCTGGGCTATGATTCTTTATGTGTGAACCTTGGGTGGCGGCAGCACCTAGGAACTTACTAGAAAGGCAAACTCTCCCAAGCTACTGAATCAAAATTCTGCAGGTGGAGCCTGGCAATCCATGCTTTAACACAAAGCCCTCCAAGAGAACCTGTGCCACATTAACATCTGCGAAGCACTTAGCTTCACCTCCTATGCATTGATGACTCTGCTCTTATTGGTCCAGTCAATGCGCGATCACTAGCATTATCAAACTTGGTAGGGAAGGAAAGGGATCTTCACTATGATCAAGGAGGTCTATACAGACATCAAGCAAAGAGCAATTTGAGTCAGCACACATTACCATGCTGCACTGTGCAGGCCCGACGCATACAGATAACCTTGTGTCTACTAAATATGGTTAACAGAGATCAAGTACAATTCAGGTGTGCAGCAAAAACACATTCTCAAATACCACCTCAAACTCTATGAAAGATCAATGAGTTGCTAAACAATGGTGGTAACCAACAGCTGGCCTGGTACTGATCCCTAGAATGGGGTGCCTCTTGGAGAGAAGCACAAAGGCCAGGAGACTCAGAATCACAAACAACTCCAGATAATTGCCTTTGGCTACAAATCCAAGACCTGTGTGCTCAGCCTGGGAAGTTCTCTTGGTCCTGCAGCAAGAGTGTCCAAAGAGAGCAATGCGCACACTCGAAGCTTCCAACCACAGGGGCCAGGCAGATGAGGTGCAGACCAATCAGTATAGTAGACAAGAGTGCTGTGTCTTAGCCTTGACTCAGGCCTCGGAGATTGAAAATTACTCTTGGTCAACAGAAGACTGGTGGCCAATCAGCCATTTACTGAGTGGCCTCTGTGTCTATAGAATGATTATTGGATATAGGATGTGGCTAAACTGGTGCCCACTTTTAAGAAGGCTGTGGAAAAATTAACAAATAAACACTTAAAAGGAACAAAAGTCAGAAACATGTAAGTACATATTGAACTGTTATCATGAACTATAAACAGAGCGATCCAAGAAGTGAACAGAACCAACTTATATCAGCAAAGGTAAATATCACTAGATTGTGAAAAGTTAATATGGGTAAAGATGTCATTTTATGGAAAGGAGAATAGGATGGATGGCAGTTGAAGACAAGAAGGACAAAGGATATAAGGAAGATCAAAAGCATCAACTTACTTGAGAATAAATAGAACATCAACCAAGTTGCAAGGTGTCTTGGGTGAGACTAGCGAGTAGGGAGCTTGGGATCTGTTATTTAGAAACTTGTATTTTCTAAGTAGGCATGCAGTCCATCGGTATTCTGGGTAGCACAGTGCCATGGTAGAAAGATGACTTCATGCTTGGACATGACTTCCAGTTAGGGATCAGACCAGCCCTGCTCTTCAGAGAGACTGCGCGGGTCTCCAGCTTGAGTTTTGATTGTGGAGTGGAGAGAAGATGGCAGAGGCAGCACAGAGAACACTGAATGGGCTGTGGGGAAGATGGAAGAGTAGCCAGCTCTCAGGGCTTAGCCTGGAGTACTCAACCATGGTTACCTAGAGAATCACCAGTAAAGTCCTAGACCAGATGAACTGCAATTGCTCCAAGCCAAGGGGACATAGGTGCTTTCCAAAAGTCCCTCGGAGACTTCCCTGAGCAGCCATGAGCCTGGAATTTCAATTTCCAGGAAAACAATAAAGAGCATTGAGGGGTGAAGGTGAGTGTCTCTCATCTGGCATGATGAGTGGGTTAGTCACAAGTTGTTCCAAGGTAGATGGTCTGTAGGACCAGGAAGATCGGCTATCTAGGACAAGAGATAGATCGTGGGATCATTAATGGGTGGGGCATCATTAAAGCTGAGGTGGTAGTGTACCTGTGAGAGCCTGCAGGGAGAGCAGAGATGCCAACGTGGGGTCTGAGATTTGTAAGAATAATGGGGTGGACTGTGGGTCACAGAAGTGGATACCTGTGAGCTCAAGTCAAGGCTGAGGTGGACCTTCAATGGAGGAAGTACGTGAATCAGGTGGGCTTCATCTGAACCAGGTCACTTCCTCAGCGACTTTCACATTATTTGCCATCACCCTGCTGTCCAGGGTCATCTTGTAACTTCTGGGAATCTCGCACTTTAGTTCCTGATGAAGATGTGCTACATTGCCCCATATATTCTAATACTTGCATTTATGAGTATATTCTCAATTACCTAGTTGATTTATTTCAGCAATGTGCCCCAGAGTCTCCATCTGCTGTGTTTCTTCCCATGGACATCACAGAGTGAGGCCCAGTGTCTAACGTGAGCTTCCCTCAGACCCAGCCCAGCACCGGCCCTTAGAGTGTGTGCACTGGGTATTTGTTGGAAGAAAGAGTAAACAGATGTGAAACTGTAACTTACTAAGCATCTTTCAAAACAGGACATTTCCCTTTGGAGGAAATTTGGAAAATAGGAACCAGAGATGTGAGATGAGGCTTGAAAAAGCTCGCCGCGCAGCTGGAGAGGCCGATTTCCCAGGGGCATCTCCCCATCCCCACCCGGGAGCTGCCCTCCAGAGGGCAGCTGAGTCTCTGCTTTCATCACCAACAGCACCGGAGGAGACTAAGCCGAGACTCAGTGGCCTCAGCCTCTCCTGAGACAGGGACCTGGAACTCCAGGCCACAGTGGCCCTGAGACTGGATTGCTCCCCTGCCTCTGGGGGAACGCTGTGTCCAGCACCGCTGTGTGTGGGGAGTGGGCGTTCCTGTCATCTACAGCTGACAGAGTCAGAGGTGGAGATGGCACTGATGCAGGGAGGGTACCGTGCTGACGGTGTGGGAGAGACAGCTCTGACTGAGCAGGGGCCTGGCAGGCTGCCGGGAGTGGCAGCCAGCAGATGGAAGAAGGAAGAGAGGAAGGGAGGGAGGGAGGGAGGAAGGAAGGAAGGGAGGATGGAAGGAAGGAATGAAGGAAGGAAGAGAGGGAGATCTCCAGGAATTGTGGAGGGAAGAAAGAGCCCACCAGCAGTACTCAAGTTCTCCATACCAATAGCTTGGAGTATCAAGCACTGCAAATCGCTTCCTACAAACCATCTCACAGGAGGCACTACAACGACGACACTATTATCTCCACTTACAGATGAGGAAACTGAGCCCGGAAAGATTAAGCAACGGGCCTGGGGTCGCACGGCTACACACTGTGGGCATCTGGATTTCACCTGTGGTCTGAGATTCCCAAGCTTACGCTTCGCAGCACTGTGAGAAGCCATCTCAGAGCCAATGGGAGAACACTCTGTTACTGCCAGTGACACCGGCACACCTATGCTCACGTGTCTGCACTCGTATGCTCACACACGTTCATACACATTCATATTTACACATACACACTCACACACGCACACACACACACACAAGATCCAGCCTAGGGCTGCCTGCCCATGGAGACCCTCCCTGAACCTGCTGCTCCTGGGAAGTGTTTGCTGCATCCAGGGCCCCTCCTCCCCAGGGCCCTCCCCCCTCCCCTGCTGGGGACCCCGGGACTCCATGGAGACCCCCCGCCCCGCAAGGTGTTAAAGTCTTTGCTGAGCCAGACTGGAGCTTCGCTCCTGGCCTCAGACTGCTAAACCTTCAGTGTGAGCCTCAAGTATGGACTTCCTGAAGACACTTTTTGACCCAAGGAAGTTGCTTGTCCCTGATTTTGTTAAAAGTCAAAAGTGAAGGCAGAAGCTTGAGCAATTTCAGGCTTCAAACCAAATGAAATCGTCTGAGAGCATTGGAGTGTCTCCCTCCAGTCCTTTGGAGACACCTTCCCTTTGCAGCTGCACATGGCATCGGGTCTGGTAGGAATGTTGGAGAACCAGGGATGGGCCTTCCAGGGCTTCCACTTGAAGTGGTTCAGTTAAAGGCTGAGCCGCCTTCTGGGTGCTGCTTCCCAGGTCCTGAGATGTTTTCCACTTTCCTTCTTTCCCACAGCCAACACAAGCAAAATGGACTACTGGGCAGGTAATACGAGCAACAGAGCGGGAGGCAGTCGCCAGAAAGTGTGACCACCCCACTGACTCCAGAGGCAAATCCTCATTAAAGGACGCATGTCAGGAGCATCATGCTCACAGCACTTGTTGGGGCCTCCAGAGCCCAGAAATGCCAGATCCCCATCAGCTGAAATTGTCTCAGTTCTTTCCCACCTTCCTTTCTTATTTTCACTGCAAGTCAAGTCTCGCGGAAATTCCTTCCCACTACTGGCTCCTGGTCACATCATGAAAGCTTTCCCAAATCCTGCTTGTTTCCTAGAAGAAGGAATGGAAAGCGCAGCCACAGATATCTGTGTAAATGTCGCTGTTTATTATCGGAAGCTGCGTCCAGGCTGAGAGGACCATTCCGGGCCTGACACCCCACAGCCTGCTCCTCATTCACCAGGGCCTTGGGGTATTTTTAGTGGGAACGATTTGCCATCTCTTTTTCCTCTGTCTTTGCTCTTCAGACAGAAGGTTTATGCTCACTGTGGGTTTTCAAGCCTAGGGAAAGAAGAAAGCCCTGTGAGCTTTCCTCGCCCATAGAAGGCAGAAAACAAAATCCACAGAGAGAAACAGAAGTCGCCTCTGTTCTCACCCCAGCCTCCCGTGCATTGGAAAGGAGCGAGCAGCAGCATCCAGCAGCTTAACTCCTTCCTGAAATGCTCGGAACCACAGGCCCAGGGTTCATTTTTGTAGAATTAGGTCATAAACGGGACCAAGCTCGTTATTGAGTCATTTGTCACCAAACAGGAGGAATGCAGTGTCCTAACACGGAAAGAATGTCATGCCCCAAACATTTATTTCTGGCCGCGTCTTTCCCAGCCTTGCAATCAAAACTTCAGTGGGAAGCTAGATAAGCACAGGCCCCCGCCCTCCCCTGCCTACCCCTCAGCCCCTCCACCGCCTGCACCCCACTCCCTGGCCTGCTTCACCTGCCTGAGCTGGGGCCTCTGCCCCAGTTATGAAAAGGCAAGACAGTTCCCTCGCATTTCCTCACCCATTCATATCTCCAGCTCCTCAGCTTTGCTGGTTTTCTAGGAAAGCCGTGCCACATCCCCTTGGCTGGATAAGCACTCAGTTCTCCAGCGCTCCGGGTGCCCGTACTGGACCATGGCAGAGGCAGGGCCAGGAGATTCCTCCACACTCAGGTGCTAGGCGGGAGCTCGCGTGGCCCCACGGGCAAGGGCTGGAGTTGGCCTCTCCTCAGAAGATCTGTGTAAGGGGCCTGATTCACACCAACGTCGCCAGTGTCTTGTCCAATAGTCCAGGGCTTTAGTCCCAGCATAGTTCACTCTCTATCAAGGGAACTGTAATTTTTTCACATAAAAAAATCTAGATTGGCCATTTCTCCACATTCTATCTTTGCACATGGTGCCTGTATTTCCATGCCTGGACCAGATCTGCCACATGGATACACAGCAAGAATTCTGTGAATGTATTCAATATCAGATTTTCCCAAAATGGAAAAAAAAAAAAGCGGAATGCTTAATGATGGAAAGGAAAACACTGGCCAAAATAAATGACTCCTGGATCCCGACCAGGGGCCGTGACTTGTGTTTGTAGTCACATTTTAGTTGTGTGTGTTGCTTTGTGCCGAGCTATTTGTACAGCTGGGTTGCCTTGCACGACAGCCACAGCGCCCAAAAGCATGGAGACGCTGCTGGGGTGAGAGAAGTGCAGGCTGCCGTCAGCCTGTCTGGGAGGAAACCCCAGCTGCACCTCTTTCCAGGGTGAGACTGGGCAAGACCCTGACCTTTCTATGCCTCAACTACTGAAGGACAGAGGCTAAGGACAGGACTCTGCCTCCTCGGACAGAGAGAAGATTTAAATGAGGCAGTTCAGATAGAGCTCTTGGCTCTCGGTACCTGGCTAAGATAAAAGATGTGCAAGTACTAACTTTTTATTGCTAATAGTCTATAGCACATGCCATTGTAAGGAAACTATGGAAGTTTACTGGTTCATTCATTTATAACCTTGAGAGGAATCATTTTGTGAAGACAAAAATTGTTTTTTATTGTAACAACAACAAAAAACTATGCCCTAATTAATTGTATATACAAAATCTGCCAAAAAAAATGTACACACACTTCAGGAAAAGAAAACTGGTAGATGTTTTGTCAGCAGATGGTGCCACCCTCTCATGGGGACATGGGAGGTTGCAGAAAACCCACTGCTCTGCCGGCCCTTAGGGAAGAAGCTGAAAGTGTGGATGCAGCAATCTCAGTGACAAGGTCACCCGAGCAGCAGCTCGCCCGCTGATAAGCGTCTGGAAGCCCATGGCCACCGCTCTGAGCACCTCTGGTCCCTGTGGAGGCCAAAGGTAACTTGTATTAACCTCAAGATGGCTCAATAAATTTAGTGTTAAAATACTTACACAAGGTTTTCTTTTTCTGAAGTGTGTATACATTTTTTTGGCGAACTCTACACACGGGGAATTTTTTGACCAAAAGGTATTTACATCAATTTCATATTTGTATGTTACCAAAGAGATTTACACACACACACATATTATAAGCACGTATATGTACAAGTCTGTATTTCCCCCTAAAGGTCAGTGTTCTGTGAATGTTTCCCTCTTTCCCCCAGCTCCCACGAGGGAAGGTCATTTAGCAATGACACCTTCCTGGACCACACTCCCTGGCTTACCCTGGAGGACAGAGTGGTGACCCCTCTGCTGTCCCAGCCTCCGATGACCTCGCCAGGCAGGTCACTGATGGGGTGCAGACCCCGAGGCCCCAACCAGACTGTGCAGAGCCCCAGTGTCCTGCACGCTCAAGGCACGGGTCAGCCCTGCTGTGGACTCCGCTGACTCACCCGCCCACCACGAGCCACAGCCCTCCAAAGGATGGGATGAGGTCACATCCTTTTTCTCGCCCCCTCTTTTTCTTTCTTTATTCTGTTTTTTTTTGTTAAATAAGGATGGAGATGAAGGGCAGGATGAGAGTGGGAAATGCTTTCAAAGCTCCATGGTCCTGCAAAATCCACAAATGTCCTTTGCTCCGTGCCATCTTATTCTAACCATGTCCCATCAAATTGTGTTCCAAGGAGGAATGTTATCTTTCAAAAAAATAGAAGGGAGGGTTGGGAATTTAGCTCAGTGGTTCTGCTGCCTGCCGCGCAAGCGCAAGGACCAGAGTTTGAACCCTGGTACCAAAAAAATAAAAATAAAAATAGAGAGGGAAAGAGAGAGAAGAAACAAAAACTACAGATAGAATATAGTATTTTGCCTTAACATACTTTTACCTTTCGGCCAGGATTACAGATTGGCGACTCTGGATGATAAAGATACCATCCGATTTGCTTTTATTTTGTCAAACTTTAAGCTTCATTGGTTTTTGTCTAATGCCTACAAAAAATGCATATACCATGTTGCCTATGCTTCGACTTCCTTACATAACTAATAATTCTTATAGAGTTCGTGTCCAACTTTTACTGTTCAGTTCAGCCAGCTGCTGTTCTGCTCAGGACCTGTGTTCTTGTCTTCACACAGGACTCGAGGTGGGGGACAAGGGCCTCAGTGTGGCTCCTTTCACCTTCAGTTGCGGGGTCAGCTGTCTCATTTACACAGTGAGCAAAATGTAAGAAGCTAGAAGAATCAGAACCCCACTGCCCCCTGACAAATACTACCTAAAGTGGTTTCTCTAAGCCTCCAAATCATCCCCTTTGCGTTACTGACCCCTCTTACCCACTGCTTGATCTGCCTACTATGACTCTTTCAAATAGACTCTTTCACCTCAAATATGAATGTGTGCATCTTCCGCACAAAACCGCCCCTCTTTGTTACGTTCAGCAGGGTGCAATAGCCTTCATGAGTTCTGCTTCCCAGGGTGAGGGTGGGTGGCTCACACACTTTCAGATGACAATGACAAGCACTCAGCCCTTGGAAACAGCTCTGCCCCAGTTTGTGTATGGGTGGGAAAGGAGGAGAAAAAGCAGAAACCTGCTGAGCATTAGTCTAATCAGGGCTCTCAGTCTGCAGCCAGCACAGAGCAGCTCCTGTCTGAAGACAATCGCCCCCTGGCGCTGGAGGAGCAGTGAGGCTGAGCAGGTGCAGGGGCCCCCACTCACCATGCAGGAAGACTTTGCTGTGAGCCAGGCAGTTGGAAAGGCACCAATGAAACCTTGAGTCTGCTACTGGGCATGCCTGGTGGTAAAGCATTAAGGTCCCAGTGCTGAGGATAACAACCTGGAAAGACGACTCAGAGAACCCAAATCATCTTGGCTTGGAGAATACAATGGCCATTGAGTCAGCGAACAGCACAGAGAAATGTGAGCAGAAACTGATATGCATCCATCACAATATTCCAGGCAACCAGTGGCTCCACCAAACATCTAGTTCTCATGGAGAAATGCATCTGAAATGCCACTGAGGAGCCCCTGAAATGCTATCTCCTTTCTCTAAAATAATCTTTTCGCACCAACTAGTATACAGGCGTAGATTAGAGTGGAAAGAACATGTGGAATAAGAATCAAAGTCCTGGGCAAGGTTGTTGCATTCTCAGAAGACATGTCACCTAACCTCAGCAGGTCTCAGTTTCCTCATCCACGGAATACACAGATTGGAAAACGGTCCCTGAATCTCTTGGCATTGTGTAATTCCGGGCTTTATGAGACTTAGTTATCATACATTGGCCTCCTTGGAGCTGTGCACTCAAAGCAATAGCTTGTGGGTCCAGATTCCATGAAGTTTCCATTCTCCATCTGAAAGAGCAGGCAATGTAATGACATGAAGAAACAGAAATAAATTAACTACTGGAAGTTCATAGCTCTTAGTGTGACTGAATTTAACAAAACAGTAGCTTGAAAGATGAAAAATGAGAGTATTGTATATATAAACCGAACAGAAAGTATTAAATCAATAGAACTCAAAAGTACAGGAAAGCAAAGAATTAGTAAAGTATGGCAAAAGGGGGAAAGGTGGCAGTATTGCTAGCTCATAATATTTGACTTATTGTCGAGGTAGACAGAAGAAAAGAATGAACCAATTATACCACTTTCTTCTTGCATAGAGAGGAATGATTTGCTACAGTAACTGTGGCATTACATGATACAAAATCTCAGTTCTGAAAATCCAGGGCTATGTTGCTAATGGCCATCTTGGATTACCATGATAGGGCATGGATCCTAGACAAATATGATCACTTTCTCTCCTGGGAAACCAGGCCAAGATCACGGAGGAACTCTGGCTGTCCATGGAGGAGAGCAAGTTGTGCCTCACCTTATCCCTGCCTGGTCCCTCGCTCCATTCCCAGTGCCCGGCTCAGTGCTGGCACACAGAAGAAACACAATACAGCTTCCCGGAAGGCATCTGCACACTATCCAGCCAGGCATGTCGCCATTCTTTCTCCTTTTCTCTATTTGTCAGTTATTCTACCACTAATTCATTCAAAACCTAGGAACTAATTATGCACTCGATCCTGGGGATCAATGGTCATCCAAGTAGACTTGCACACTAACCAGACAACTATATGAAATGCAGTATACGCCTACATCCCATGCTTATTGCAGCAGAAATCACAATCGTCAAATGTGGAACCAGCCTAGGTGGTGATCGACAGATTAATGGATAAAGAAATGTGCATTATAGACACAGGAGAGTATCATTCTTGTATAAAAAGAATGAAATTAAGCCATTTGCAGGAATATGAATAGTATCAGAGATCACCAAGTTAAGCAAAATAAGCCAGATCAAAAAGATGAGTATCACATACATGTTTCATCACATTTTTCCTAATATGTGGAATCGAAATAAAATGAAGATAATATGAAAGAAGTGAGACTATTACAGACAGAAGGGAGGAAATAAGGAGAGGAGAGGAGTATAAACAAGGGTAATGATAAGGATAGATATGCCAAAGTATGGTATATACATTATAAAAATTAAAGTTTTCAATGTAGTATATGATCACGAAAATGACACCATGAGGCAAAGGGGGGAGCAAGGGGAAGAGAGGCCAGCGTTAGCCCTGGTTGGGGCAAGAAAGCTCACTCAGTGTCTTCAAAGCAGTGATTGTGAGTTACTATCTAAAACTGAGTACAACCAACAAGGCAAAGTGAAGACAGCCATTGAGGTTCAGCAACTCCTGGGACTGGACAGGTGTGGAAGGTGGGAGGGAGTTGCTACAGCTGAAACAGTTGGCAGGGCACCCCGAGGCCCCAGAGGTGTTGGCAGGGCTGTGTCCTGCGCATCCTTGCACTAGGAGTGTCAGGGAACTGCTCAGTGAACCGCTGGGCAGATCCTGTATGCCAGGCTCTGTTCTTTGTGCTGAGCATGCGGAAAGTAGGCTCAATCGCTGGCCTCAATCAAATAGAATGCCAGCTCGTGAAGACAGGGTGTTTTTGACCTAATTTTAAAGAAGTGTCACACCATCTTTAATATTAGGAAAAATGTGATAAAACGTGATACTCATTTTTGTGTTCTGGCTTATTTTATTTAACTGGGTGTTCTCTGGTTCTAGTCACATTCCTGCAAATGGCGTAACTTTATTCTTTCAATGGATAATAATACTCCACTGTGCTTACAGACCATAGTTTCTTTATTCTTTCATCTGTTGATGGGCACCTGG